CCCTGCCAAGCTGGAGGGAGTTTATAACTCCCTGAAAAACTGCTCCTTACCACCCAGAGACAGGGCACTGAGCACAGCATGAAAGCCAATTTTGTAATTGTGGAAGTAAAAGCTTCATAGCTCCAAAACACTGTGGAAAAATCCACCTCCCAGCCCCCTAAAGCACTCATATATCACAAAGAACAACCCAACGCCCCAACCTCAGCCCCTAAAGCCCCCCATACATCACAAAAAACAACCAAAAACCCACCCTCAGCCCCTAAAGCCCTCATATATCACAGGGAACAATACAGAAGATTTTCATATTCAGCAAGAGAGAGGAGTGGTGTGTCTGCAAGTCCTGCTGGAGACAGAACTGCAGGAAATTTGCCTTGGCAGCAAATGCAGTGAGTCATGGACTCATGGAATGATTTAGGTTGGAAAAGAAGACAACAACAACAAAACAAAGCCTTCACTTGCAGCTAGGTCTGGACAACAGCATATGGATTTTTTCAGTTAAAATAAACATGTTTTTCCCTTGTTTGGAAGTAGAACAAAAAGGGAAAGCAATCAGCAACCTCAGTCCAAAGCAGTCACAAAGTCCAAGACTCTTTCACTAACCACCAAAAATGCAAGGCATGCCCTAAAATTCAATTAAAATTGAATTCTTAAAAAAACTACAGGGTAAGTTTTTTGGGATTATTTTTAAATTTCTAGTTTTAAAGTTGCTAAAGGCCAAACTTTTAAGCTTTTGTTTTATTTTAAAAGGGCAGTCCTTTGAACAAGAGTCTGCCAAACAGCCATAGCAAAGAGGACTCAAGATGAAGTCTTCTCCTGGCTTAGATAGCTGAGCAATCAGGTATTGGTCCTGATTTTACAAACACAAAAGGAAGAAGAAATACAGAAAACAAGAGATGTGGCTGGCTATTCCATCTCCTGGCAGCATGGGGTAGAAGACAATAATTGTTTCCCCATCACCATCAGCTATAAATTTGCCACTACAGAGCAGTTTCCCCCAGCCATGGAATACTTTACCCACAAACTTGGTTGGTGTATCAGCTGTTGCTCTTCTCTGTGCAGTTACAAACTACTGCAAATGGACTAAACAAGTACAGAAAACAAAAACGGAGGGGGGAGGAAAAGTATCAGGTTTTGAGTTTGACAGTTAAGAGAACTCACGAGGACTTTGAAAATCTCAGGTTCAATTCCCTGCCCTGGATAATATTTATTTATAAAACACAAACCGGCTTCACTGGGAAATCTGAAAGACTCTGGAAGGAGTTCTGAGAGTCACTCACAGCCCAAGCAAGTCTCTCCCTCTTTCTCTCGTTTTCCTTCCACGGGGAAGCACGAAGTGCTCCGTACCCTCTGCAGACCAGCCAGGAGCTGTCCCCGACATGCACATCCCTCACAGGAGGAGGAGGTCTGGGGCATCAGCAGGGTCCCCTGTGTGTGCACGCACACCAAGTTCCCTTGGCAGGGCCACTGCAGCTTCTGCCCCTGCTCTGTGGGACAGGGAGGATGCCCACTGTGGGATCTGCAGCTCATCAAGGGAGGGAGTACAGAGATCTAGAGTTGGCGAGCAGGCGAGGTCCAAGATGCAGAAATACAAGAAAAATATTTTTCAAATTACTATGAATCCATGAACTGGAGTGGTAATTGGGTAATTGTAGCCAGTCCAGCTAAGTCAGGTTTGAAAGGGCCTTTCTAATCAAACACAGAGATCAATGATAATAAATAATGGAAAACTTGGGCAATGCAGGGAATGGAACTGGGTCAAGATGGTTGATCCCCAATCTCAGGCTATAAGAGTGAAACAATAATAGAGCTTCAGAGACCTGCAGCTCACTCCCTGGAAGGCGCACTCAGTTCCTTTCCCAAGCCATTTCTTTGCTTTTCTCACTTTCATCTTTTTCTTTCTTATTTTTCTTTTTCTTTTTCTTTTTCTTTTTCTTTTTCTTTTTCTTTTTTTTTCTTTTTTTCTTTCTTTTTCCCCCTTGATATGGAATGTGATTCTGATGCTAATTAATCAGTTTTGGTTACAGTAGCTCAGTATTTAGAGCAAAGGCCAAAGGGAAAACTTGCACAAGTCCTACCTGGATTTTTGCTTACTGACTCTTTCATTACAAAAGTAATTCTGACAATGCAGTTAGATGGGGAAGATGTACAAGAATTTCACACTTTTGGATCCCTAAGAATGTCCCTTTGTGAGCCTTATTTAAATTCCCGCTGTTCTCTTTACCTCTGAGCTTGCCAGCAGCAACACGGTAAGCTTCAGCATTTTATTTTGCCAGTCAGTCAACCACATGGAGCCAACAGAACCTACAAGCTCTTTAAAAAGCTTTTCTCATCTGAGTTGTAGCAGTCTCTGGGGCAGGATCTCGCCTGAGATCACAGAAATGCAGGTGGTGAGCTTGCAAGCTTGTACCCCTTAACATGGTATCAAAGACTGCTTGACATCGTGGCAGGAACACGGCAGAGGAGATCTGAGAATCCCCAAACAAACCCTCCCCTTCCCTATCAGTGCTAGCTGGGAGACCTCCCTTAGCAACCGGCCCTGCACTTGCTTCCCTAATTGCTTCTTGCCAGGAGGAGGAACAGAGTTCCAAACACTGCAGAGCCTCCTGCTCTCCTGGTGATACCCAGCTAGGCCAGGAGCTGAGCAGCTCTGTCAGCTGCAGCTCAGGCATCGCTCAGCTCACTACAAAATCCCGCTGGCCAGGTCAGGCTGTCTGTTGCTGGTGGTGTTTGGAGGGGCGTTGTTGTGGCCCCTCAAATGATCCTCGGGCGAGGCTCGCAAGAGGCAAACCTGGCCAAAGCATCACCTTCACTTGCCACCGTCCCCTGCCTTACCTGGCTCAGCCGTGGTGATCCTCCTTGTGGTCAGGGTTTTCTCCAGACCCACTGAGGCTGTAATTAACTTTTCAGCTGTCTTCCATGGATGTGAGGCTCCGTCCTTGGGGAAGGCAGTGCCTAAAGTAACTGGAGTGGGTGAGTCCTTTCCCAGGTGCCTTGGATCTTTGGAAATGCTGCAACAGCCCAGGGCGCACAGCATTGCTGGGTGCGTTGGGGCTAACCCGGAGCCGCCGTGCTGGGCTGGGTTTTACCAAGCTCGGATTAAAGACCCGAGGCTCCGTGAGTGCCGCGGTGAAGTTCAGCGCAAAGCAAGGTCCTGTCGTGGTGCCAGAACACGCTGCTCGTCCCAGGTGCTGCCGACGGTCCGGGCTGAAGGTAATTCCCAGCATTTCAGGGCTGGCTCTGGCTGAGATTAGCAAACATAACTCAAAAAAGCACTATCACAATTGCATGTTCACTGGGAAGGGGAAAAATAATGAAATGAAAAAGGACAAAACCAGCAGGGAAAGAAAATTTATTTCCAAGCATCTACGAGAGTGCTACAAACAATAAGAGACTAAAACTCAAAGCATTTGAAACTATTAAAAAATGTAGTTGACAATGTCCTTCTTAAAAATTAAACATAAAAACGTAGAAAATGCAGTTATTAATTCTAAAACTTGCTCAAAAGTGAAATAAATCCAGATAGCATCAATGAAGATGGAGTCCTACAAATTACCTTTTTTTTTACTTTATTTCAATTTGTTAATTTTCAAAGTGATACTCATTTGCTTTCTCTTTTTTTTAATGTTTATTTAAATTTATAATGGAGAAATGTGCAAATCTGGCAAAATATTCTTTGGATTATAAACAGAGAAAAATCAGCAACCAAAGAAATTTGAACCAAGTTAATAATAAGCTATAGAATTATATAGAATGCATACAGGTATAATAAAGTGAAATATTACAATAAACATTGTAGAGCAAATCTGCTAATTTAGCAAACTCTGCCTTATAAAACATAGGGATATAATGGGACAAGTGAATATGTTAGGGATGTAGAGCTGAAACATCAGTCATCATTTTTAGGAGTTAAATTTTAATCTAACTACATATATGGGGGGGTCTTCAGAAAAGCAACACACCAACAAATCAGATTTCCTCTCAGATCAAGCAGTTTAGTACCTGACTGCAAATGAAGGACAGGGTCTGTAAAACAAATGTAGGAAAATGTAGATAATTTTTATTTATTGCCTCTTCCCATATTGCAGCTGCTGATCTCTGACCCTAAACAGCCAACTATATTAAATTCAGCAGAGGTACAGCTGTACACAGATGCAGAAGATGTTGATGTGCAGAACATACCCCAATCCCTTGCTTCCTCTGAACTAATACTTAAAAAAAAAAAAAAAGTTATAGATTCCTTTTTGGATTAAAAACATGCATTACAAAGAACAATTCTGAAAGCATTCTGTATTTCTGTCATCACAAATTAAAATGTCTCCCTATCTGCAGATGATGCTATTCTACTGGAAATTAGAAGAAAAAAAAAAAAAAGCCAAACAAACCATGCCCCACCCCTCCCAGAAAAAAAAAAAAAAAAAAAAAAAAGGAAAAATAGGAATTAAGTACCGGAATATTAATTACTACTCAGGCAAGGTAATTCAGGTAGAAGAGTCCTTAGGGAAGTCACAGCTAAACTGGGTCAGATTTCAGTCTCCAGAACCTGCAGAAGCTCAGCACAGATTCGGAAACTCACAAGGCTGGAGTAAAGTGTAAGCACAGAGTACTCCCGCCCACCCAAAAACTCATGAAGACTTGGGAATCTCTAAGATATAAGATAAATGCTATTACATGGGAAATATTGAAAAATATTACACTTAATTTAATCCAGAAAACACAGTAGGACTATATGATGATTCTTACTGTGTTCTGGGAGCAGCCACAAGCTGTAGATAGAGAGGGTACAAAATGTTCACCAGACGTTACATTTGTTTTAATCTAAAAAACATTTGTAAAATGTACTTGATTTTTAAATAATCACTTAACAAGGCAACAAACCAACTACAAACACATAATAAATAAGGCTATTAAAAGGTCACAATTGTAGTAAATTAGTCAGAACTATAAATGGGACATTAGAAACACTACGTTTTTCCTTATATGCTTAATAACCAGAACAAGAATTAAAAAAGAATCAGTTTATTTCAAAGTCTGCTTCTTATATTGAAGCACATATTAAAGCAACAGTACAATGTTCATAAAATATAAGTGTGATGCTGTAACATTTCTTACATGTCAGAATACTGATATTTGTATGTATACTAAAATAAGAATTTTAAAATTGTACAAATAGATACATTAAAAATGACATAGAAATAGGGTGCCTCCCACCGAACAAGACAGAGTTTTTATATCTGGCACGTATTAGTTTAAGATGAAAGAATAAGCAAAAAGATTTACAAGAATCAGCAGTAACAAGTTTGATGCTCAAGAGACATAATAATTGTACATTGTACTGTACATACATCATATGGGTTTAAGCTGGCTGAATATTATATATTTCAAGTTTAAAAATGCACTACCATATAGAGTGTCCATAGTTTAAGGCGAAATTACAGCTCAGAACTGTTATCTTTTCTAATTTGTGGAAGCTTCTTTGAAATAAAAGATTTTGATGTTCATAACACGTAAAAGATTTCCCTTATTTGTAGGTTTGCTTTTAGCATTTTCCTTCATTTAAATATTTCTCATATCTTAAGTGGGTTTTTTCCTTCAGTGAAGCTGGCAGCCAGCTTCCAGATTTGCCTTTTATAGGAAAAGGTACTTCACAGTATTTACCACTTTCATGTCCTTTTTCATCAACGGAATCCTCTCTGTCAAACTTAAATGTTTAAATGAGATTTTTCTTGATTTTTAAAAAAATACCTGTTTACATTTCCTCTGGATTCTTCAGAACTTCGGACACAGTTCTTAAGGCCAAATCTTAAACTTTATTGTTAAGAATCATCATCAAAAGTGTCTTTGGAGCCATACAAGTCTGCAAGTTTCTTAAATCGAGGTCCCCAGTTTTGTAGATAGTCGTAGTCCAAGTCAGAATCTGTGGTTGCTGACTCCAAGGAGCTGAGGGACCCAGCCACGGAGCCCCTGCCCTCGTAGCCATAGATCTGGATGGAGTCATAGGGAGGGGCAGTGGGGTCGTTGTCGGCCTCCTGTATCCTGGTGTTGATGAAATCGTCCACGTCCACGCTGTTGGGCGCGGGCCGCAGCCCCGGCCTGGGCAGGTACTGGTACTCGGGCTTGATGTCCTTGCGCGGGATGAAGCCGTTGATGCCGTCGGGGTTCTGCAGCGTGGCGATGTCGAACGCCTCCGTGTCCTCCTCGCCGCCGCCCTCGTCGTCGTACGTGATGATGTTCTCCCGCACGTCTTCCTCCTCAAACACGATCAGGGGCTCTTTCTTCTGCCTCTTCAGGGTCACGAACAGCACCACGATGACTGGGAAAACAAAACACGGGTTAAACTGCGCCGTCACACAGCAGCGCCTTTGTAAGTAATTATTGCGTCCCCGAGCCCTTGGCTTTTCTGCTGGATTGTTGCAAACTTCTGCATTTTTAGTGCTCCTTGCTAGGTAGAAGCAGAGATGTTTGTACACAGAACCAAACGCACTGATCTGAGGCTTTCTGTCTGAGCTGCATGCCAGTGCTCTTACTAATTGCTCATTACTGCAACACTAATTCGAGGGAAGTGTTTGTGGGGCCTCAAGTGCTGCGGAGTACTGTGACACTGCCTTTGAGCAGCCCAAGCACATGAATATCTGCAGCAAAACAAAGATGAATCTTTATCCTCTCCTGTATGCCCAAAGCTTAACTCTAGTTCCAGTGTGTCATTTCCATTAAAACTGAATTTTTTTATGCAACACCTTCAAAGATGTGTTTGTTTTGCATTCTCACTTCAAATTTCTATAAAATAAAATATATGGAAAAAAAAGAAATGCTATAAAATATTGCAGGGAAATTAGAAAATATTGTGTAATTTTTTTCCAAATCATCAGGAAATATTTTGCAGCAATTTCTTAAAAGCAGGTCTTCCAAGTCACTCATCTGGTTTCAACACAAGATGGGTTTGAGGGAAATAGCTGTCAGGGGCCATTAATCCTGGCTGACCTCAATAAGGAACTTGTCAACCAGGGAAGAACACAAAACTTAGAACTGTATGTCATGACCTCCTTTAAGCAGTGTCCCTGATTAGCTGGCATTAGGCCATGGGAGGACATTCTCTGAGCACATCTACACAAATCCATTGGTGTTTGTTATTGAAGATATCACAGAAGCCCAGAATGGTTTAGGATGGAAGACACCATAAAGCTCACCCACTGCCACCCTCTGCCAAGGGCCTTCCACTGTCCCAGGCTGCTCCAAGCCCCAATGTCCAACCTGGCCTTGGGCACTGCCAGGGAACAATTCATCATTCCCAATATCCAATCCATCCCTGCCCTCTGGCAGTGGGAGCCATTCCCTGGGTCCTGTTCCTTCAGCCCTCGGCAATTGTCTCTCTCCATCTTTCCTGCAGCTCCTTCAGGCCCTGCAGGGCCACCCTGAGCTCACCCCAAAGCCTTTCACAGCCAGGCAGATCAGCACTCCCTATAAAAACAAAAGCTAAAAAATTCAGATTCATTTCTCCATCTTGGAGCTGAGGGCAGGATTACTTTTCTAACGCAAGCCCAGAGCGGCAGCACGGAAGGAGCATTTTTCACCTAGGAGAATGACGATGCAGGCCAGGATGGCGATGAGGGCGCCGGTGCTGAGCCCCGCGTTGAGCACGTAGGCCTCGGCGTTGCAGGAGAGCAGGGAGCCGCTGCCGTCGCAGCCGCACACGCGGATGCTCAGCGTGTTGGTGCTGCTCAGCGGGGGCACGCCGCCGTCGCTGATGACGATGGGGAGGAGGTACAAATCCTGCTTCTGCCGGCTGAACCCTTCCCGCCTGACCAGCACACTCGCTGTGTTATCTGCTTGGAGAAGAGAGAGGGTCATTGTTAATTCTTCCATAGTCGTGCTCTTAGCCAATATTGAAAAGGAAATTATCTTGCTGCAAAGGCTCTCAATTTTCTGGGGCTTTAGCGTAATTTCTACAATAAACCAGTAGAAAGTGCCGCCTTTGTAATGACCTAAGAGCAATTACAGATTGTATTTAATTCATATAGAACCACACTCAGCTTTAATTCTTTAATTAACACAAGCAACACAGATAATCTCTGTCTGATAGCGCCTTTTAGTATCTGTAACTTTCTGAGAAATTCACAATATTTTTTCAACTACCCAAATTGCTGGACCTTCTTATTGCTCTCTGATCTGGTTTGAGTGTCTCTCCAGAATGAAAGCTTTCAATGGAGGGGTAAAACCCGTATCTCCCTTATGAGTTCTTGGAGTCACATCTAAAAGCATGGTAGATGCTGTCCCAAAATGGGCTCTGATAATGAGACTCCCATCACAGCAAAAGCCAGTATTTGCTGTGTATGAGCAAATTTGAGCCTTGTTTTTTCAGCAAGAAATGCTGAAGGTAACAGCGTTTTATCAGAATCTGGTTTTCACCCAAACTTCCAAAGCCATAATTCAGAGAGCTTGATCATACATGCACAGTATGTCTGGTCACATTTTGAATCATGTGGATGTGAGGAAGAATTAAATCACAGACTCAAAAACACCCTGAGTTGGAAGGGACCCACAGGGACCCATGAGTCCAACTCCTGGCAGTATTTCTGTAACTCTGTTCCCATTGCCCTCATGAGAGGTGACCTGCCATGGTGCAGGACATTTTGGATGGTCCTGCATACTTCCTCTGGCTAGAGCCTTGGAAAGGGGACAGTTGAGATGACACTCTGGGCTGAGGCAGCCTGTGCTTCCTGCTCTCAGCAGAACACCAACAGGCCTCCCTTGTTGTGCCCCTCCCCTGCCTCTCACCTCAGCCTAAACCAAAGTTTATAACAGTTGTAAACATCCCAACGTAAATAAAGTGAAGCAACCACATCCATGGTTTTCAGACCTTCAAAAGCCAGTTTATATTGAAGATTTATTCCATACAACCTTTCCTGGCTTGCTATGTTCTTTATTTTTCACTGTATAACAGAAAGGGAGGGGAAAAAGAGCAGTTCTTTTATCTTCTGAGGGAGGGCTGTTCACCTCCTAAGGTACCCACTTTACTGCTGCCTCAGGCTTCTGCAGATTAATCGTTTTCCTGTTGAAGAGTCAGCATAAATCCCAGAATTTAATAATGCAAACCATAAAACCTCTCATAATGATCTAATCACTGTGATTTCCATGGAAATCTGTGAATAAATTATACCTGAAGAGAAGTGTTCTTGCCTTGCATTAAGCACCCTTGCAGGCAGTGCCCCCGATGTAGGACAAGGTCTGAAACTGCCCCCAAATTTGGTCAATCTATGGGATGGAGGAGGATTGCACTGCTTGACTCTCCCAGGAACTTCACCAGAAAGGATGAATATTTAAGGTAGGAGCTGTTTGTTACACAGCAAATGAATCCATCCCCCATACCTGCCCCTGTCCTGCCAGCCACACCCCTGGTGCCCTGAATGGCCACCTGGGCTTGACACAACTGCTGCTTTCTGCTGTTGAGTCTCACAAAAACAACAGCTGGGTGGAAAGGAGCTTGTTAACTTCTCTGCACAATGTCACATTTGCTAAGGACAGAGACACTGATAAAGATCTGATTGTTTATTACTTGTGCCTGTTGGAGGTGTCTCCCTCAGAGTCCTCCTCATCTCCTGAATGTTTACATGCCATCTAAACTTTGAGGCACAATTTTTTACGGGACCTTGGTGACATCAATGTCTGCATGACAAAAGCCTTATTTTAGGACTTTATTGGGCTCGTAACAATTTGGTACAAATAGGAATGCAACATCTAATATCTATTAACCTATCAGCTAACTTGAACTAATAACAGGGGGGCTGAGCTACAGCTGCCTCGAGGCTGCCACGGCAATGTGTAAGGAATGACAATACCATATATTACTACATATAGTCTTTGGCTATGCATTTTTTTATCATATATTTTGTTTTTCTTATGTTTTGTTGGCTGAAATAGTATTCCTAATTTAAAATAAGAAAAGCATGGCAAATTATTTAGCTGTTATGCAGAATGGCCTGGTCCACTGCAGTCACACTAAACAAAACTGATTTTGATCCAATGGCTGATCTATCCGTTTTAATGGGAACCGATTTTCGGTTTAACATAAATTTTTAAAAAGAAAAATCCAATCAACATGCCTGACTAAAGTTTAAAAAGGAATACAATACATCAAGACTAAAAGGTCATTTTTAAACTTTTACTGTTTATGTTCACTTCTCACATTTAGAAGAAACATAATATCCATTATAGGAAAAAACCCCCTCCTTTCTTACCTAGATAAAAGATAACATATAATCCTAGCTAATATTCTCATCCTTGCTTTTTTATTATTTTCAAGGCCCAGGAGTAGAACTCTAATCCTGGTAAAATGGCATTTTTTAAGCCAACAGAAGGTAAATGTCAATACCAGCTTAAAACTATTACTTAACACATATGGGAGCCACTTGACTGTCAGTCCTAATTAACACAATGGGGGTCAACACAAGAAGGAAAAGAACAGTCATCTCAAGGCCATTCCCAAAATATATCACATTTTTCCAGCTACTATTGCCTTGGCTATCCAATATCCAAAGATGTTACAAGTGAAGATTCCCTATGCTCTCCATGAAATCTTCACAATTAGAAGCTAAAATTGCATTATTTCTTGGTGATACTTATACTGCTCTCTCTGACCTTTGATTTTTGTCTTTTTCTCTGGTGATCTTATTGATGATTTCCAATTTTTCCTGTGTGCACAGGCAAATGTAGCTTAGTTTTTGGGGCTTGTTAACACATAGATTGTGTAAGGAGGATTCTAGATTACAGGGGTTGACTGCAGTGTGAACTTTATCACCTATATCAGGTGTGAGTGCTGATTCAGTCAGAAAATGAAACAATTTCAGGGGTCCAGCTGTCTAAAATCCTTACCTTACCAGGAGTGGCAATCACTGTGGATAATCCATGACAAAATCCTGTGACTTGATTGTCTGTTTCAAAATTTTCTTGTTGAAAAAGTGTGAAGCACATGTTTGAATTTAAAAAGTGGACTCTAGTCACTGATTTTCGGGGGCTCACAAGTTTAATTTCAGGCTCTGTAAAGCTCTAACCTGTGAATTTGGGACTGCAGCCATTCCAGTAATGCCATGCTGAGGGAGCTCAAGGAAAGGGCATCTCAGCACAGGACCCAGCAGGGTCAAAAGCAGGAAATCCATTTACTCAAAATCTGCCTCTCTGCTGTGAAGTGCCACGAGCCTCTGCTGCTGTTTTGAAGGCCTGAATTCAGTGGGAGCGGAACTGAGCAGAGCCCGGGCAGACAGTGCTGTTTGTTTATGAGCTATAATATAGGGAAACAGTGCAAAAGTAATTCTGTGTTTTATCCCAGCGTGGGCTAAGCCATTATCTCATGTTTTCTATGGGAGATGGGCTCAGCTGAAGACTTGGTAACACAGTGGGCTATTAATAGGATGTAGAACGTGATTATGCTTTTTTGGATTACTGCAATATGTGATTACTTTCAGGAGCTGGTAAAAAGAAACTCTATTAAATGATAATTATGAGACTGTATGCACTTTAAAGTTCTGTAATAGGCCCAAACACTGGAGTTTTCATTAACTGTTCTCCACAGTTAATAAAGCCATTTTTCTCTGAAAGTAGCAATTCCCTCTGAAAGCTGTGGCACGGCTTATAGAATACTCTGACTTATAACTGTAAAAACAACTTTGAATGACCATGGACATTATTTGACTTGCAAATGGTCACACATTCTCCCTAAGAAGTTTTTTTATATGGGAGTACACAGAATTTTAACTTTTTTACTTTGTTCTAGTATAACTTACTTTAAAAAACTCACAAGAATATGTAAATTAATAACATAATTACACTGAGGATTGAACAAAATGAAGGAAAAAAAGGATGGAAATGAATGAATTTCCTCAGACTATTAATTTCCCAAAAAGAAAATTATATGGGAAGATTCAATCCCTCAATATTATCTTCTTGAAATAACCTTTTGCATTATTGTCAGGTAGAAACCTTATATTAAACTGACATAATAATTTCAACTACAACACATTCTATCTGAGTTAATTTTGTCCGTAACAAATTTTGCTGCAAATGGCAATGAAGGATGAGTGGGATTGGCTGGAGTCAGGAACCATAATACCACTCAGAGTATCTCCACTCTGAGCTGTGCTTCCTCTGCTAGATTATAAAATCTAATCTAATTTCAGTTTGATGTGGTGACCATAAAATGTATTTTATAGCAAGCCTTGGCCTCTGGGTCTCAAGCAAAGAATACATGCTTATTTACTCCTTTCTAAAAATACACCCATGAATTTTTCAAAACTTGTGTTTTACTACTTTAAAGAGAATAAATATATGCCCTGCACTGGCTCCTTTATGAATTGCTTATGTATGTACAAGTGTCAAGCACCAGGCAACAGTATTACTTTGATCAGTCAGGAATAACAGAGATTTTGTTTGGGAACTCTGATGATAATTACACTCCCTTCAGATGAGGAGAGAGATATAAAGTGTGCCTCAACAGAGCAGTTTTTACTGAAATCATGTATCTGGATTGTGTTGCCTTTTGTATTTCTGGTACTCTTGGATTCATTATTTAAGCCAGTTCAACCAAGTTTTACTTTTCAGAAAACAGTCAAGTTTCCTTCAAACATTAAAGCTTACTAATCAAAACCAATTCCTTAGAAGCTGAAACAGTTTTTTTCCCTGTGAAGGGAAATAAAAAATGAACATTTGAAAATGAAAAAAAAAAAAAATAATCCAAATATAATTAAATAAATGGAATAAATACATATAATGGCCAAACCTGTCTTTTTTTTTTCAGTTTTCCCATTTCCTCTGCTTCCCTCAGCCTCTGGCAAGTTCAGGTTACTGATGTTATTATATTGTGATCAATTGAATTTTGACACTTACCCAGGCCTGACGATTTTTGCTTACAAATTTATTACATCTTGCCATCAATCTGAATGCAAAGCTCTACTTTATTTTGTGAATATGAAACTGACAAAGGGATCAGGATATGCAGATCCTGAGACAGCCAGCGCAGGTATGTTCCACAGCACAAATCCCTGATTCATTTCCTGCACTGGGCAGTGATTTGATTCCGTTAGGAATCTAGCCCACATCTCTTGTGATCCATAATTTACAAAAGCTGGCAGGCACAGTGGTGAACAAATACAAGCAGCCTAATAATTTATGCTGTCTCAGCATAATTTTAGGTTTTCTAATTCAAGGAGATCTGCCAATTCCATTTACTGAGTGTTTGGCAGTGTTTTTATCCTCTTCCTGGGAGATAAAACGGCAGTGGATTCTTCCTATTGGGTATTATTATGTAATTTATAATATGCATTCAAGAAAATTCAAGTGAGTTAACAAACATCCCACTTTCCCAAGAACATCCTTGCATTTTAGCTGTATGCTTTTTCTTTCCTCCCCTAAATCTTGGAGAAAGACTCTGCCGAAGTTAATGACAATGCTGTTACATGACATTACATTGGCCATTAGTTCTACTTTGTCATTTCTTTGGATTCTGGTAGAGTGATAATCTTCACACAAACCTCTGTTGTCTCTGAGTGTAAAATTTGGATTATGAATAATTTCAGGTGGTAAACTGAAGATAAATCTTGGTCCATTGGCCGAGTCATCCTTGTCATCAGCACTAATTGTAATAAATTGCTGTAAAAGAAAAGCACTCTGTAAACAAACAGCTCCTTCTCTGGGTACATCACATACAGGCAGCATTCTGAGACAGCCCTTGAGTAAGACTTGTAAAATAGCAGAACCCCCCTCAAATTCAAATATAAGCAAATAAAAACACAGAGCTGACTCCAAACTACAACAGGCAATCTTTAATTACTATTGCATTAACCACCCCAGAATTACAGCTGTAAAAGTACACATCTTCAACATTCTTATACACAAATATGTGTTAATAGTAACACAACAGATTAAATAAAATTCTGCAGAAAACTCAGCAGCTGAGAAAGTCTCTTTTAAGCTTCTACACTGACTGCAGAGGCACAGATCATGTGCAGAACTGTATTTCTCTATGATCCTAACCCCTCTTCCTCACAGATTGCCAGGAACAAATTGCTGGCTAGACTCTACAGGCACTGCACTGCAATTCTTCCCATAAGACACTGACCATTTCTGTAATATCCAAACCAGTCTCACAAGTGGGAAAGCTGCCCCCAGCTCCACTGGCCCTGTGCTAGTGGGTACTCCCAGGCAACACCAATCCCACTCCATACACAAAGCACCGGATAACTGCTGATAGCAGTTCAGAAACAAAGTGCCTTTCTGGGTGCTCAAGGCTTTCTGGTCAAAAGCTCAAAACAAATGTTCATTTACTCCCTCTCATTGGAGCTGACAGGACAAACCTGGGCTAATGCCTAAGGGAAGAGCTGCGTGTGCAGGGAGGTGGGGGGAGCAAGGAAGGTGGTGGGAACAGTGAAGGTGTTGGGCACAGAAAGGTGGTTGGAACAGAAGGGTAGTTGGAACAGGAAGATGGTGGGCACAAAACAGTGGGCAGAGGAAGGTGGTGGGCACAGGGAAGGTGGGGCAGGGGAGGATGGTGGGCAGAGGGAGGTGGTGAAAACAAGGAGGTGGTGAAAACAAGGAAGGTGCTGGGCACAGGAGGTGCTGGGCAGGCCGTACCTGGTTGCTTCGGGCATTCTCACACACAAAGGCTTCGTAGGCAGCCGCAAACTTGGGAGCGTTGTCATTGACGTCAACGACCTTGATTGCAACGGGAACTTTGGCTTCCTGGTGCTGTTTGTCTGCGGGAGAGGCAACACTGAGATGAGACAGAAGCAGGAAAACCCCTCAAGACAAACAAATCCCCAGCTGCATCCAAGGAAAGATCAAATATGCTGATGTAATTCTGCTGAGATTTCTTGCAGCTTATCAAACTGAGACAATTAGAGGATTACAGATTCGTACCACTGATTCTCAAACACCTCAGCGAAATACTCACGGACTTCCACTGCAAAGACAGAGATATTATGCCAAGCCATTTCTTCCCTATCCAAAGTCTTTATTGTCTTGATATTGCCATCTTCTGCATTAATAACAAAATATCTTTCAAGGTCGGTGTGTCGATCAATTGAGTATCTAAAAAAGATTGAAAGCCAGTAATTAGAGAATTGAAGGACTTAGGAGTTTCCTGCATCCAGATTTGTTCTGTATAATTATTATTTCTAAATAATTGTAAGTAGTACACCTATTGTTGTCCTCAACATCATTGTCAAAAGGACGATATGTGTTCTTTAAAAGGAGAATCACCTGGTTGATTTCTACATTTAGAAAAACAGTACATCAGAATGATTGTAATAATTGAAAATGCTGGTCTTTGAAGTCTCTATATCAAAGCTCTAATATATTCTTTATTTTCTTCTCTTATAAAATATGATAAAAATATCTACTGAGATATTTTTCTCTTCTGTTTCATATGAATCTTGATGATCTTTTAAGTCTTCCAATCTTTGGTTTACTTGGAATATTAATTGATCATACCAATTTATCAGCTATTATCCACTCTCTGCACATTTGTACAGCTTTACACAACTCTGACTTTCATAACTTCACGTTGAAATTCTTTGAAATGTTAAGTATACCCACAAAAGAGGTCTTCATAATTTAAGTTACACTGAGAACATGGCAAATAAAATTAAATTAATAGAAAGCTATTATAATATAAGAATTCTTTACTATGAGGGTGGGGAGGCCCTGGCACAGGGTGCCCAGAGCAGCTGGGGCTGCCCCTGGATCCCTGGCAGTGCCCAAGGCCAGGCTGGACACTGGGGCTGGAGCAGCCTGGGACAGTGGGAGGTGCCCCTGCCATGGCAGGGGTGGAAAGGAATGAACCTTAAGATCCTTCCAGCCCAAACCATTCCATGAGTCTGTGATTCCAAGACGATCCAACATAACTGCAGAAAGTAGGGGCCTGTGTGGGCTTGTCTTTAATAATTAACACTTAACAATTACCCAGCCCAATCCCTAATCTACATCTTAGACTTTGATATGATGAGAAAAATCCATACTGTGATAACAGCACAAGATATTTGTGGAAAATTTAATTTAGAATAGATGCCCTTAAGTATATTTGAATTAGACATAGTATGATACAGGCTTTGAGAAACTGGCAGCTTGTGGAACAGGCACATAAACAATGCTGGATGGTTAAACTTTCGATATTCTGGGTGTCTGTAGATCTGTCGCACTGTCTTCAGAACTCGCCTAACAATTCCACATGCTAATGCTCAGAAGGAAACAGGAAATCCAGCAAACCTTATAGCACTGTTGGCAGCATCCGGGTCTTTGGCATGTACTTTTCCAACCACAGTACCAGATGCTGCATTCTCCTGTACTTCGAAAATGTAACTTGGCTTCAAAAACACTGGTGGCTCATCAGCGTCTTCCACTGCTATTTTCACTGTCACCGTGTCCTTGAAGGGCCCGTTGCTGATGAACTTGGGGTCAATGTGGACATTGGCTGCCTCCACCTTCAGGCTGTAGGACTTTTTGGTTTCATAATCTAAGGTCTGTGAGAAACAAGAGGACAGTGCGTTCCAGAGTCAGGGACACCAGGCTGTAAGAGCAGCAGGCAGCACCCCAGTGTTCAATGACATCAAACAAAGGTGAGTGTCTGTCAACGAGCTTGGACTGAAATGTGTGTATTTAAAAACATAAAGACTCAAATGGAAGGAGCTACATTCTATGTATGGAGCAGCATAGAAAGGCACTCAAAATATCACCACAGAGTCTTGGTCTTGCTCTTTGCTTGCTGTATCACTAAGGAAATCATCTGTACTGGAAATGTGAATTTTGTCTCCATCCAGCCTTCTAGGCAGCACAAAAGTGCAAGGGATGGGAAAGGGGCTCCCACAAGAGGCCTGGCTTTATCCAGGTTGGCAGGCATTCCACGTGGATGTGGTTTCAAGTGCTCCTGGGTGCACCATGAGATAGCATACTGAGGAGTTCAATTATTTAGGTAGTGGAGAAAATACAAAGATGGTTTGGAGTGCTTTCATTCCTGCAGTTCTTTCCAGCACAGAAAACTCATAACACTTTCCAAAGGGGAGGTGGAATAATGCCCCATGGGACAAGTCCTTTTGGGAGCCTGATTAAAGCCACAGCACCTCTGTACCTGCATTAGCATGAAGCAGCTGCAGGGTTGCACCTCAAAATGATCACACAGGTGCCAATCACAATTCTCAAAGTATGTTAACACCAGTAGAGTGGAGTGACAGCTCACCCACATTTCAAAACACACAAAAAATCCACTCCCACCTCTAGGACAGAGACAGAAATCAAACCAGGGCAGTTTTAAGCAGAGGAGACCTCTGGGTCCCTTCCTGATGGGCTGCCCTAAAGGGCAGGGCAGGGTTGACCAGAAGTTGACCAGGCCTTCTCCTTTGATTTCTGATTATCTTCAAGAGAGATAAATAGCTCAAAGATACAAAAGGCAAAATGATAATGCTTCCATAATAGTAAGACTTTATGTTCTGTAATTTGCAATTTAAAATTAATTTGATAACGCTTTCAAAGCTCAGCTGACGGGCTGTGTGTGAAATCCCCTCTGCTGCTTTTCCCATAGCCTGTGACTCCTTCAAAACACTATTGTGGACAATGCACAGCTGAAGAATTCAAACTATAGGGTATGAGGCTTTTCAGACTGAACATAAAGCAACAGTGAATGTCTGCTACTTATCAGCACTAGGCAAAACTTCATTAACAATGAAGCTGATGGCATCGTATTTTACCGTGACTTTTATTATGAATTCATTTAGTTTGTGCAATTAATCCACTGTACAGTATTTATGTAACTCTTCTTGGTTATTTTCTTCCATTCCAATTCAGCTAATGGGGAAATGGAATATTAAGAGTTAATCACACCTTGAAAAATTAATTAAGTGAAATTTGCATTTAGTAATATTTTAGCTTAGGTGCAATCCATTATTACCAAATATTCTGTCAGCAAAAAACACTACATAGCAGTAGGCATCACTCACCTTCTTAAGCTTCACAACCCCTTCCTGAGTCTCATAATCTGTGGTGATCTCAAACATGTCCATGCCATCTCCATCGATGATGCTGTAAGCCACCAAGCCATTCTCCCCAATGTCAGGATCTTTGGCCTTCACTCTCCCCACTTCCTCTCCTGGGACAGCTGCTTCCGACACCGACATCTGGTACACACCTGGGCCAGGGAGCACAGGGACAACAGGCGTGTGCCCCGAGTGAGCAGGGGCTCCCCACTTGGGTCTTTACTCTTTGAACTTGGGAGCTCCAATAAACACAGCGATTTTTGGCATTGTCACCCCCGTGGAGGATTGTTGGGTTGTGTTGTGTTCTGTTGTGTTGTGTTCTGTTGTGTTCTGTTTTGTTCTGAAGAGCTTTGAGCAGCAAGTCAGCTGTGAAAACTTAACCCACATGGATAATGTGTAGAACATGACCTCCTCCCTGTTACCCCTCTGCTCAGGGAGGGGCTTAAAAGGACAGCCAGGCACCCAGAATGCAGCAATTGTTGTGGCATCAAGGTTACCATCGATAGCAGAGATGTTATTACAAAAATGGAAGGAAAACTCTCTCACATGAGTCATGGTAAAACCTTCATCTCTCTTTCTCATTTCTGCCCATTCATTCAAGAGCCATAAATTAGATACAGTGAACTGGATAAATCCTGTCTGCTGTGCTGGCTAAAGTATAAATCTGCTGCTTTCTATGGCTTGAATTTGGAGTGTGAGTGTAGAGCAACTGTGACTATTAAAATTTCACACCACAGAGAGTATGCACCAATTTGTATGTGATTTCATGCCAAACAAAAAATGGCTTTCCCATGGCAAGCTCCAATAGGAAAACCATCCCCAAACATCCCACAGGTGTTTCCCTGGGTATTCAGGGACACCAGAGAAGAGCAACACTGTTCCTGGATAAATATCTCTCCAACAGTTGTCCTTTAGGCACTACTGATTCCAGAACTTTCCATCCACTTCCAGAGTTCAGATAACATAACCTGATCCTAAATAGATAAATCTATGTCAGCATTTTCTGCCACATCATCAGCAGTAAAAAACTGGAGAGGGAAAAAAAAAAGGGGGATGATGAAACAAAATAATCTAATTTATTCCCCTTTGTAGTTGCTCTTCTTTGCTCCGTGGGCACCCTAGGAACATTAGGAGACTTACACCAGGCAGGGACTTGGCTCATTACCCATAAAAACAATTGCCACATGTCATTGAAATAGGTCATTAACTCCAGTCACAAAGAACCCAAAATTTAAGCATATAACTCATTATCAGCTTGAGCAATGAACATTAAAAACAAAAACAAAAAAAAAACAACAACAGAAAAAAGGAAAATAAGAATGAAAATATCAGTCATTTGGCTGTTTATACAGACAGCTAAACCCTGGTTATGAGTTACAAAACATTCCCAAATCAGATTTAACCTGGGGATGAATGATTAAGTAGAGGAACTGCTTTTGGACGTTTCTGATAATTTAACATGTTCTTGCAAAACACTCAGTGAGAGGCTTCAATTCATGAAAAAAAATCATAATTTGATGGAATTAACAAAATATTGTATCCTGGTGTCCAGGTTATGATGTGGAGGGAAAAGGCTTGTTTGTAAGGTACATGAAACCTGATTTTTTATCATTTAATCCTTTTCTTTTTGAAGGGTAAATAATGCAGGCACAGATTTTTGCATTCAGCTCTTGCATGAGAAGTCAGGGAGCTGCAGCACTGGAAGAGGAGCTGTAAGAGCTGTTAGGGGGATGGCCATGGCCAGGACACATCAGGGTCAGAAGGGCTGCTCACAGGAGAAACACGGTGGGCTGAGACAGCTTTGAGTGAGTCTGCTCAGCACTCAAAAAACCCCAAACCCACACAGAGATGAGCTGCACAACAGATGTGTGGGCCCATTAATGTACTTCCACCCAGCTGTGAAGGCTGAGTCTGGTAATGTCAGCCCTGATTAATTTTATATGTGAAAAGTAAATTGCTCAGGTATAAAAAAATTGCTGTATTTGACCTCCATTAATACACTTCAACAATTTAAAAATGTAATTGTGCAAAATTTAGTTTGTTTTGTTATGGTAACTGTGAGTCTTGAAGAATATATACATAGGTCTCTCTGCTCATATAAGTTACACAGCATGGCCCAGTAGCTTCAAAAATGAAGTGTAGGGTCAGGAATCTTTGCAATTAATGCTGGCCCTAAAAATGTCTCACTTTGCAACACAAAGCAAATATTCCAGACACTAAAGTTACATATTTTACCAGCCACAACTTCTTTATTCACGTGTGGTGCAATAATCCATCAGTTATTGCCTCTTCAAGCCTTGGGTGTGTCTGATACTTCACAAACATGGGTCCTGGTAGGAGATGGGAGAAGGACTGTGTTGGTACTCACTCTGTGGGAACTTTGGTGGGTTGTCATTGACATCTGTAAGCGTAATTGTCACTTTGGTTGTCCCTGAGAGGCCTCCCATGTGTCCTCCCATGTCCTTGGCCTGTATCACCACGTGGTACTCCTCCTTGGCCTCTCTGTCCATGTTGGGAAGGGCAGTTCGGATGATTCCTGCAGGCACGAGGAAGGTGCCAAACACAGATTTAATGAAAATCTGGCTGCTGCCTTTGGAGTGCATTAAACACAGCAATATTTGCAGTGATGGTGGAGGTTCTGCTTTCCCTGAGCACTGCTGTGCGGAAAGCAGCCCCAATATTCCACCCAGAGGACAGGCCTGCAGAATTACAGCTGAGCACAGAAACAGCCTTTCAATCATACAGCACACAGAACACCCAGAAACAGCATCAGCTTTCTGGTGCAGGAGCTCCAGCAGATGCAGGAGACCAACCTGCAGCAGAGCAGGAAGATGTGCTCAGACACAGCAGCAGCTGTGCCCAGCCAGTACATGCAGTTCATTGATGCACTCTGGTCATGAGGTGCACTCAAATAAACTGTTTGACAATACCTGTTTGAGCCTCCACTGAGAAGTAGGGCTGACCTTCAAGGATACTGTAAACCAACTTGGCACTGTTCCCATAGGTAGGGTCATCAGCATCTGAAGCTGTTACCTGAATAACTGATGTACCTAAAAATGGAGAGCAGACACAGGAGGGAGAGTCAGAGGCGAACACGTCTGGAAGGATCATGCAGAGATGCTTTCAGACACACAGCAGAGCTATCCCTAAAATTTTTTATTTCCATGTTTAGTAAACGAAAATCAAAACTACTTTACAATTTCTATGTGGCAAAATATACTTGTATGATCCAAAAAGATCTGTCACCAGCTGTGATGTGGATTAATGTTCTAACCAGTGAAGATATAAAAGTCAGCAGTCACCCTGCACTGTTATGGTTTTTCCCCTCAGTAGTTTAAGCCTTATATTGCTTTTGTTGTTAGACAGCCAAACAATAGAGTTTTCCTTTACATTTTTCTCAGTAAGTTTCAGACAAATCATTCCTGTAGAAATCTCTCAGACAGACACAAGCTCAAACAGGAGATGAAAATGGAATAGTTGGTGAGGCAGTAACTTCCCAGCTTTATTACACAGCTCTGCCAAAGGAATGATCTTTGTGTTTACCCCAGAGGATTCACACTCCATAAATTCCAGGGGACTCTTCTGCTCCTTCCTAGGAGGAAAAATAGTTCTATTCTAGGAAAAATAGTTCTATTCTATTCTAGGTCTCCCAGTTAGGAGCTGTGCGGGGTTTGATTTGGGCAGCAGATTAAATACATCAAGTGAATCACTGGCTGAACACAAAAGTAAATTTTACTTCCCTGAATCCTTGACAATAGGAATGAAATAAAGCCAAGATATCCTGAGAGTGCAGCACCTTCCACAAGGGCAGTGCCCTTCTGAGTACTCACCTACATTTGATCTCTCGGGCACATTGGCATGGTAATTTTCATGGAGAAACTCGGGTGGGTTGTCATTTATGTCTTGAACTTTGACAATGAATTCAGAGGGGGGTTCCAAAGGTCTGTTTGTATTCCTGTCCACAGCCTGAGCTGTCAGGGTGTACTGAGCTCTCTCCTCCCGATCCAGTGTCTTGGTTGCATGGATGTTCCCTGATTTGTCATCAATAACAAAAATGATTCCTGCTCCTTCACCTGAGAGAATGTATTTAATGTTTCCATCTCCAGAATCAATATCTGAATGAAGCTACAAAAGGAGAAACAGACACACCTTAACAACAGGGCACATATTTCCTGGATGTGTTTATAAAACAAAGAAATGCAGAATTGCTATCATTTCACAGTTTTCAACAATTGTGGCTTCCATCAGGCAATAATCTACACTCAGGGACATGCTGTGACCACAGGTACCCTGCATCCAGGGCAGTGCCAGCCCAGACATGCCTCCTGTCTCATGCAGGGCTCTGCTAAACCCAAAATTTCAGATTGAAGGAAGAAAATACACAAAAAGATGCTTATAGCAGGTTCTTTATTCGCATGAAGTTGGTAGGAGGAGTAATTTTTACAAAGCTTTTGTACACTTCAGTGAGCCATGTTCTACTGGGTTGCATGTAAAATGCTGTTAAATAACAAAGGGGATGAGTTGTGTGATAAATGAATGAGTCCAGCTGCACCCAGGTGTGCAAGAAGGCCAAGGGCACCCTGGCTTGTAGCAAGTACAATGTGGCCAGCAGGACCAGAGCAGTGACTGTCCCGTGTCCTGGGGACACTGCTGAGGCCACACTCGGGGCTGTGTCCAGTTCTGGGCCTCCCCATTCAGGAAGGACATGGAGGGGCTGGGGGTGTCCAGAGCAGGGATCAGAGCTGGGGAAGGGGCTGGAGCCCCGGGAGGGGCTGAGGGAGCTGGGCAGGGGCTCAGCCTGGAGCAAAGGAGGCTCAGGGGGCCCTTGTGGCTCTGCACAGCTCCTGACAGGAGGGGACAGCCGGGGGGTCAGGCTGTGCTCAGGGAACAGGGACAGGAGCAGAGGGAACGGCCTCAGGCTGGGCCAGGGCAGGCTCAGGGTGGGCACAGCAGGAATTTCCCCATGGAAAGGGGGCTCAGGCCTTGGCAGGGGCTGCCCAGGGGGGTTTGCAGTGCCCATCCCTGGGGGTGTCCCAGGAAGGGCTGGAGGTGGCACTCAGGGCTCTGGGCTGGGCACAGGGTGGGCATCGGGCACAGCTGGGACTCTGTGGGCTGGGAGGGATTTTCCTATGTCAGTGATTCTGGGATTCTGTGTGATTCTGTGTGATTCTGTGATTGCCAACTATTTTTTAATTACGTCCTCTCTCATATAAAAGAGACAACAAATGCTTACTAAACATTCTTAATTCCAAAACCAGTGCACATTTCAGTTTGATGAATGGGGGAAACATTGAGCCAAATTACAGATTTATTGATTTTATATTGACAGCTACAAATTGCACCATTTTAAACCAGAATACCCAGCATGGTATTTGCTGACATTGATCCTGTTTCTCCACTCCTTTTGTGTTGTGGTTAAGTCAACACCATTCTGCTGCTCATTTAGAAACTGCCAAATATACTGGTTTATTTACCTGTTTATATTTTACCAGTGTTAGACAGTAGCAGAATAAAAAACCAGTCCAGGATGTGTGTACATATACACGTGCACACAGATATTTACCTTCCTCTATACATGGACCTCAATATATTTCATTTTACTGATAATTTGAAAATGAGAGGATAAAAAGATACCTATTTTACTGAGCTTCTGGGTTAGACATTCAATTTTAATTGCTGTTTTTAAAGATCTGAGAATGATATTCTTGAGACATATTTTTGCTCTGGTTGTTGGCGTGGTTCTTGCTGTTTTGCTGAGTAACAGCCTGCATACCTTCATTCAAGGACTGCTGAGGTCAATGGAAATATTTGTATTGACCTAGGTAGTATTTTGCTTAGCATCTAAACTTATCTACCAGAAAATGAAGAAGCAGCTTATAAAGCGCAAAGGCAACAGCAAAAAACAAACAAACAAAAAAACCCCCCCCCCCCCCCAAAAAAAAAAACCCACCAGAAAACCACCTCAAAAATAATAGAAATGAAGCATATTAATGAATGGCTGAAAAAGGAATGGTTTCTTACCCTTCCTACGAGCACAGGATCTGGCCCCGTGTACTCCTCGATGACGAAGAACTGGTTCCACACCCAGCCGCGCTTGGAGCGGTGCAGCACCTGTCCCTCCTTGCCCCGGTCGCGGTGCCCGTGCAGCGAGGGCCGGGCGCGCTCCCCTGCCAGCCCCTGGCTGCAGCACAGCACCCCCAGGCACAGCAGGGCCGCCCGCACACAGCGCTCCTCCTTCATTCTGGTCAGAGCCTAGGCACGGGAGGATCCGAGATTCCACCCCTTCCACCTGGGCAGTCAGCAAGTCTGGGGCCGCCGGGGAGGTTCACACCAACCCTTGTGCACATAGGATGCCACCACGCATTAAACGCATCACCTTAATGCTCTGCAGCTTCCCAGCTCAGTTCCTGCAAGAAGAAGGGAAAATGGAAAAAATCGTCAATTCTTTGAGGATCTAGTAGGGTTTTTTATTTAGTAAAACAAAACTAGGACTTGGTAAATATCAAGATAAGAAGATTAAAATAAAAACATCAATGCTGATGAAATCCTGAGTAATGAGCAGATTTGATGTTTTGCTACATGCAGCTGCTACCTTGCAGAATCTCCTGGCTGGCTTGTTTGGCCACTCAGTGGCTGGAAGTTGAAAGATAGATAGGGAATCATATTTTCTCATGATCTTCTCAAATAGATTTAGCCCAAAATGCAAGGTAACTGTAGAAATACCTAATTTAGACCTAATCCCTCTTTGGAGCTTAGATATAAGCCTTTGATATAAACTGCTAAGGCAGAGGTCCAGATACAAGGGAGATCCCAAGACTTATCAGGAATGCAATATTTCTCCTCCAGCCCTTGCATGATCAACACATCCTTATGCTGAACGTAACCACCCCTGGTTTCTGGGCAGGAGCAGGGGCTGGCAGACCTCCAAGGAGCTCCAGTTTGGATTTAGACCCTGGAAGCTCCTCTGAGGATCAAGGCACCACCAGCACTGATTGCCAGTGTGATGCATTCAGATATTTTTGATAACAATTGATTTAACTATTTTTTCTACTTTCCCTGGATGTCAAATTACTAGGATTACATTGATCTCCTACTTTCTAATACTTCTTAAAACATTAGGTCGGATTTAATATTTGAGGGAGAAATTGTATTATACAGTGAAACTTGAACTAAGCAGCCCTCAATCCATCACAAAGGCCACTTCCACTTATCCCTGGGGTTTCCAACATATTCTCCTTAAATCTTTACACAGCAAGAAATTTTACAAGGTCCCTAAAATGTTTGGTTTAGTTTTTGGTGTGATTCACTTTACTCTTCTGCAAGATACAGATAAAAAGCTTGATGTTATATTTGTACAGGCAAATATATAAATATGTACCACCATTAACTGTAAAACAATGATTTTTAAATGTGAAGTAGGGAGATCTTAATGGTATTTTCAGCAGAGAAAATGTGAATATAGGCAAAAGCTTGAAGCTAAGCACATTCTGTAACTCCAGCCACAGACAAACATCTCAGTCCCAAACCCACTCATTTGGGGTTGTCTTTCTCACGTCCTAAGCAGTCATGTTCTCCTTCCACATTCCTTTTACAGTTACATAAAAATACATTGGCTGGCAGGGGTTCATGAATAAGGAATGAAATATATTGGTTTATTTCCTCAAAAAAGATTAGCTTTCAATTTTATTTTACTGAAAACTGAAATCACAGCACCAAACTAACTACAGCATAATGAATGAAATGACATTCTCATACATAGATGCAAATGTAGTCTGGCTTTCCCAAGCATATTTATTAAATGGATTTGGTGTATCCATTTGGCATTTTCCTATTGTTACATGATGACACATTACAGATTACTCACACCAACATGGAAGACATACAAAGGAAAACAATCCCTATGATTTTGCTCAGGAAAATGCTTCTATTTTGACACAATGTATGTGCGTGAAGAGTAGAGCATTAGGTCTGTGGTTTCATGTCTCCATTTCATGTCTCCATCTTGCTGAGGGGTAAAAACAATGAAAGGCATAAATGGTGTGGAAACTGAGATTTCACCTAATTTGGATGCTTGTTTTGCACCCAGCTTTGCATAGGGATAGAAAAGGATGGGATTTGTGCTGTAGGGATCACTCATGTGCAGTAGTTAGATGGGATTGGGTTCCTGGAATGTTATAAAGAACTTACATACTCCAAACATGGAATAGGAAGATATTCCTGGACAGCTGTGCATTTCTAAACCTGCTGTGAAAAAAAAAAAAAAAAAAAAAACCACCAAAAACCCAACCTAAAAGCTGTAAATAAACTTCTTATGTTAATAGACTTGGGGTGCATTTGCAAATTAAACTCACTGACAGTCATTCATCATTAGCATCACAGAATGATATCAGCTACAGAGATAAATAAACAAATCCCCCCACTCTTCCCAACTCCTCAATGCTGTTATGTAAACCAGTAAACACTTTTTAAAGCTGCTTAACCAGAATGGCAGAGTCAAGCTGATACATACACTGCTTATTATCAGCTATTCAAGTGTGAAGTGCTGGAAACAAAATGTTAATCACAGATCCATGCTTATTTACTAACAAGGATTTAAAGCAAACTTCTTTGTTATCTTTTGTTTTATCCTCTACAAGTACAGAGATGAAGCAATAAGGCTCCATGTCTTCAAGCTAAAAAAGCCTATTCTTCCTCATCCACCACTTCAGAGAATCCCAGAAGCTCAGCATGGTTTGGGCTGGAATGGACCTTAAATCCCACCCAGTGCCACCCCTGCCATGGCAGGGACACCTCCCACTGTCCCAGGCTGCTCCAGCCCCAGTGTCCAGCCTGGCCTTGGGCACTGCCAGGGATCCAGGGGCAGCCCCAGCTGCTCTGGGCACCCTGTGCCAGGGCCTGCCCACCCTGCCAGGGAACAATTCCTCATTCCCAAGATCCCACCCAGCCCTGCCCTCTGGCACTGGCAGCCATTCCCTGGCTCCTGTCTCTCCAGCCCTTGGCAATTGTCTCTCTCCATCTTTCCTGCAGCTCCTCCAGGCCCTGCAGGGCCACCCTGAGCTCAGCCCAAAGCTTCTCCTGTGCAGGTGAACAATGGCAGCTGTGCCAGCCTTTCCTCCCAGCAGAGCTGCTCCATGCCTCTGCTCATCCTGGAGCCTCCTCTGGGCTCTCTGCAGCAGCTCCAGCTCCTGGCTGTGCTGGTCCCAGGGCTGGGGCAGCTCTGCAGGTGGGGTCTCACCTGAGGGGCAGAATCCCCTCCCTGCTGCCCACGCTGGGCTCAGCCCAGGGCAGGGGGTTCTGGCTGAGTCAGGCTCCTCTGGGGCTAAAAACCAGTCCCTTGGGCTGTTTGGAGCAATTGCTTCTGCTTTGGGCTATAAAGGCAAAGGGCTCTGTGCTGGCAGCAGTTCCAAGCTGGCTCTGCAGGCAGTGACCCCCAGGTGAGGCTGCCAGGAAAGCTGGAGCTGCAAGAGCGTGGCCCTGGCCTCCTCCTGCCCCTTCTCCCCTCCTGGAGTTCATGCTCTGCTCGCTCACATGATGTTCCCTGCAGCAGTAAAACCTCTGACTCCTATCCCCAGAAAACCTAAAATAGCATAAATCAACAGGCTCCCACTGAAGCCTGTGAAATTACTTAAATTCAAACCAGCCACAGTCTGGATTTTCATAAACTACTTGTATTCTAAAAGATTAGGTGCACGAGATGTTCTTAAGTTAAAGCTAAAATGAACTTCATTAAAAAATGAAGCAATAGCTTTTAACAAAAAAAAACCAAAAAAACCAAAAAACTCCAAATCTCTCTTTTCCTTCCTTTATTTTCCAAACAATCTACTTAAAACATTTCAAACATTTCAACATTAATTCAGCTGCTGAAAGCCTACAGTTTCCTTCTACAGAAAGGAAGAAAGCAGAAAACATGGAAAAACAGCTAAACAATTTATAAAGCAATTCCTTTTTCTCTTGGGGAAAAATACCTCATAAGACTGAGAGTTTGGAATACAAATGTGAGGATGGCAATTGTTGCAGCTGCTGGGCTGCTGCTCCAGCGAGCACCTGAGAATTCTGTGTGCAGCACTTGGATTCAGATGCACAGATTTGTCAGACTGATTTGCCATTAAAGGTTGCAGCCTTTTTTAAAAGTCACAATCTTTGAGACCTTTGGGTATCTCTGCCCATAGGTTACAATCCTCAACTGCAGCAAAGCCAGTCTCAGTGGGCAGCTGATCAAACTGCAACACTGGGACAGAGTTAACCTTCCTCCTGGAAGCTGCTCCAGTGGTGTGCTTTGTATTTAGGTGGAGAATGATGCTGGTAACACTGAAGTTGGAGTTGTGCTGAGCAACTGCAGTGTGCATCACTTGTATTGTATATTCAAATCCTTTCCTGGCTGTTATCACTAATTTCTTCCTTTTCTATCTTTATCTCAACCCATGAATGTTCTCACTTTTACTGTCCCAAATCTCTGCCCCATTCCTGGGGAGTAGCAGGGAGTGAGCAGTGCCTGTGTGGTGCTCAATTGCTGGCTCGGGTTAATCGACAAACACCCTGATTTTTTTTTTTTTTACATTATTATTTAGAATTGCGCAAGGTATCATTTTGAAATCCCAAATTTTCCTAACAAATCTGTAAGAAAAGCTGTTTCCCACTTCCTTGAGCATAGTGGATCCCAAGTTTCATGGAAACGTACAATATCCTGAGTGGGAAGGGACCCACAGGGATGATGGACGCAGCCCCTGGCCCTGCCCAGACCCCCCAGCAATCCCCCCAGGATGATGGGTGCAGCCCCTGGCCCTGCCCAGACCCCCCAGCAATCCCCCCAGGATGATGGGTGCAGCCCCTGGCCCTGCCCAGACCCCCCAGCAATCCCCCCAGGATGATGGATGCAGCCCCTGGCCCTGCCCAGACCCCCCAACAATCCCCCCAGGATGATGGATGCAGCCCCTGGCCCTGCCCAGACCCCCCAGCAATCCCCCCAGGATGATGGATGCAGCCCCTGGCCCTGCCCAGACCCCCCAGCAATCCCCCCTGTCCGTCCCTGGTGCCCAAAGGCTCCTGGAGCTGCGGCAGCCTCGGGGCTGTGCCCATTCCCTGGGCAGCCTGGGCAGTGCCAGCACCCTCTGGGGGCAGCAGAACCTTGCCCTGCTCTGCAGCCTGAGCTGCCCTGGCCCAGCTCCAGCCACTCCGGGGGCTGCCCTGGCCTGAGCAGAGCTCGGAGCTGCCCCTGGGGAGGGGCTCAAACTGCTCTGGCTGAACCAAGAGGGACTTGTACTCAAAAGCAGGAATTCCATTCATACCTTTGAACTGTATACAGATGAATGTAGGCAATTTTGGTACTGAATAACAGCGTTATCAGGGGTAAAGGGTGAACAGGAGTTAGTCAGCCACCACACAAGACCTCATCTCATTAGCAATGCAC